ATATATTTATATATATTGTATATATGTATATATGAAAAATATATGAAAACTGCATCTGGGTACTCAAATGAAAGGTCTCGATGTGTGTAACATCGGGATGAGTTTAAATCTTTAAAAACGTCAATATTTAAGAAAGTACAGTGCAATTTAATAAAAGTCATTATTTAATAAAGCAAAATTTTATTTATTTATAGTTCACAAGTCACGGCAGTCACATAGTGACTATAGTAAATATTTTGTATTGCGGCTAAAACTATTTTTAGACGTAAAAAATTTTTAAATAAAGATTAAATATGTTTTTTTCGAAATATTATGAATCCTACCACCGTCTCAATGACCCTAATCGACTGAAATAATAGGTTGGATCATGCTCTATCACAATTCGTGTTTAGATTCGTTGAACAAATAGAATTTCTTTTAATTTTAAAAGTTTTAAACTTAGAAAAGTTTTATTCCTTTTATCAATTTTACACGCAAAAAATTTATCAATTTAATTCACATTGTTGATGACCAAATTTACGGAATATAAGTTAAAGAAACTTTAGAGCTAAGTTTGGCTGAGAGTCTTAGATGGGTCAGTACGGAGAAATCGAAGAAGTTTGAAACTTCTCGAGGAAAATAATCATCTTTATCATATTCCTATACAAAATAGTAGCAGAAATATTTACCTTGCTTTCATAAACTCCAAAGTCATCTTTCAACGGATCTTGAAGCACAAAATCAACAATCGACTTCTTTAAACTCATCGCATAGTCTTCCTTAATTTGACCAATAACCCTATCAAGAACACCCCTGAATTTCTTCTTCCATTTTTGAGGTACGAGGTTCAAAATCCTCGCCAGCAACTCCGCCTCCATCGGAGCGACATGGACATCATCAATACCGTACATTATATAGTAATAATACTTCAATAAATCATCTTTACCATTAATTACTTTCTCCTCATTTATCTCAGACTCAGGATTATCTTCCAACTCCTGCTCTATTATCATTTTAACCAAATAGCGACGAAATTCTTCTCGATTTTTTCTCAACTTCGTGTAACTATTCATTTTGAACAGTAGCTCTTTTTCGCGGCGCAATTTTGAAGGGGACGGCTTACGAGTCCTTTCAAATTTTTTTTTTTTATAAAAAAAATCAATTAAATTAATTAAAAATTACTTTTACTTACCTCGACAAATGTTTTACCGAAATATTCAAATCTTTATAAGTTTGCCCGATAATATTATCAATTGCATTGGCATCAGTGATGCTAATAAGTTCATCCAAGGTTTTTTTTCTCTTAATTCGATCACGTGTCCTGTCACGTTTGTCATTAACCCTCTTTTCGCCTCTCGAATTCATGATTCTATCATTAATTGAACTTTATAGTTCATAAATTATAAAATATAATAATATTTGTAATTTATAATTAAAACATTTCCAACCGTCGATTAACCTTAAAGTATTAATGGATCACATGACAAATTAAAAGTGACAGATCTTTAAAACTGTAACCTATTAAAAAAAAAAAGGTTTGCATAAATTATTCACTCGACTTGTTTTATCCTTTTACTCACACTCTATTATTTCAGCGATGAATAATTTTACAGTAAATTAACATCAGTGTCGGAGAACTAAAATAGAGGGTTATTTCCACGACTAACGACTAACGATTCCGGGTTATAATCTTAGAAACTTGTAGAGGGTTTTAGATCCTCACTGGGTTTCTATGGTACTGTTACGTTGCTAGGCTACTTTATTATTGCTTTAGCAAGAGATTTTATTACTCTGTTAAACTGTTATATCACTAATTAAATTTCGTCGGCTTGGAAAATAATACTAAGCGTATTTTAATTTATTTTTTAATTAAAATTGTTATTTATTTTTTAATTATTAATTTATATACACTGTAAAAAATTCGCAGAGTGAATTTAATCCCTCCAGGGTGAAATTAAATCCAATAAGGATTTTATTAATATTATTAATAAAGAAAATTTGGAGTGAATTTTAAATTTTATTGATTAAAAAGAAAGCATAAAAAATAAAGATATTTATTAAGAAATAAAAAAATGCGTATTTAGAAATTTAAAAAAATTCAATATTACTTTTTTCTTTATTTTGATATAACAATAAAATTTCAATACTTGAATATATTTCTCTTAATTTCTACAAGTAGTTTTTTTTTTAAAAACTCTTTATAATAATTTATTTATTATAAAATCCTTGAAATTACCATATAAAAGTTAATTTCAGTAAAATTGAAGTTATTAATTTTATTTAATTAAATATTATAATGTTAATAATTTATTTTTGTTATAAAATTTGTTTTAGCTAAATAAAAATTTATTTTAACTTAAAATCTCCGCTTTGGATGTTTTTCGGATAAAAATTCATATTTATTCCTAAATTACTCCACCGAAAAAAAAACTAGTCTTTTATTTATTTACTTGCAACATAAATAAAAATTACATCTTCTAACTGAGGTCTAAAATAAATGAAAAATTTTTAATCATAAACCCCGGGAAAGTTCAGAAATAAAATTACGCTATTTACTTACCTTTATATTCATGACGCATTAAACTTTTAGGATGACATTTATGTATTTTATTACCTTACTTAGTGTTATTTTAACAGCAAATAAATGTAGGTCCGAGTGAAAATTTATTATTATCTACTAATAAAATAAAATTTAACCTCGCATTTCCGTGGTCTGACATACGATAGTAATTAATGAGATTTATTTTTTTATAATGTCAAGACATTTCATATCTCAATTATAATTACTAGATATACCATGTCTTCATACTGCAATAAATTAACAACGTACTCTTTGCGCAATCCAAACTCCAGAAGTTTAATTTTGGAGTTGCGTTACGAGAAGTGGCTGGTTGCTTCTGGAGTATCCCTTAATTAAATTATTCAGGGTAAAGTAATTAAAAGTATCAGTAAAAAAATTCTCTAAATTTCGCAAAAATAAATATATATTACGATAGTTATATTATTTATATTTTTTATTGTACATCGATCTATACACTGTAAATATTATTATAATTATTGTATTAGTTATTACAGCATGACATTTTGAATTTTATTGCAGGTACAATTAACAATATTCAAATTTTCAAATAAAAAAAACTGCAATATAATTTTAACTAAAATTACATACAACACAATTGAAATAATTGGTAATAAATAAATGTGTCATTTAAATTGATTGTCACATATTGTAGATTACGCTTTGTTCCGTAGAGAATATAGACTTCAGCACATTTTTAACATAAATTCAAAACGCATTGCATACTCCAATTTCTTCTTATATAAACTATATGACATATGACAGCTAACATTATATTATATAATATATATTATATAAATACATATTTACATACAGTTAATTCTCACTACAGTTTTAAATTTTTTTAAATTAAAATACTTCAATAATTTTTCTTTTTATTAATTTAAAAATATCTTAAATAAAATAAAATTTGTCTTCATAAAATAATAAATAAAACAACTGAACCATGAACGACAACAAAGCAAAGTATTCGTGATGAAAAAGTATTGAATAGAATTGAGTATTTTTATCAAACTTTTTTCTTCTCTTCAGGTCAATAGCTAACTTTAACTTTGTTTAAATTTTTTCTCTACTTTTACTTTATGAAGTACAAAGTACACGTCGATCAGATATATTGTTAGCGTTAGTAATTTTTTTTTCACAATAAAATCATTAGAAAAAAAATATCAATCAAAAAATTTACAAAATTAATAAAACGGAATTTTTTGAGCAGTATTTTTTGAAAATACTATTTTTATATATACTTTCATGTACAAATACTAATTGTTCTTTTGAAACATATTACTATACATTGATTAAAATAAATCATTAAAAATGATGCATTCTCAAAAGAGATTCATATAATTAATACTAGTACTAATAATATAAGTAATTATTTAATGGGACAGAATGTAACCACAGAAGTAAAAAAATGGTTGTAAAGGTCCACGAGTTTGTCGACAATAAATTGACGGAGTGTATACTTTATGTGTACATGTACATACAATATATATGTTAGTTATCTTTATCTATTATTGGATTTTATGGAATCGGTTGTTCTTCCGAGTGGTTACGGTCTCGTGAAGCGATAACGGTAGGGCGTCCAGGCCAACAAGTCTATGAAAAGAATAAATTCTATTGTATTGGCACCAATTGTCTCTCTATTTTTATTATATTATACATATTAGTACTGTTTGTTGTATTTTTATTGCTAATTTGTTCAGCTCTAAGTCATGCAAGAGTGCTAATCTGAACAAAGGTTTACTAGTTTACTAGTTTAAAATCTAAATAGGACATTTGTTATATGCTTATATGTTTAATTAATACTTTTGTACTCATTTTAAAGATATTCATTGTTTTGGCACTTGAATTTAGAGAAAAATGTACAGTCAGAGTTGAAAAAAAAATTTTTTTTACATTATTTTAATAGATCACTTTTTGAAAAAAAATTTGAGAAAAATTTTTAAATTAATTTAAGAAATAGTTGTCAATTTTTTTTGTATGTGTACATTTAAACAAAAAAAAACTACTTGATTTTAGAAAAAATCTCTTTGAAAATTAATTTTTGTTTAAAAAAATTCAGTTTTGATTAAAATGTAAATTAAAAAAAAATTTTTAAATTAATTTAAGAAATAGTTGTCAATTTTTTTTGTATGTGTACATTTAAACAAAAAAAACTACTTGATTTTAGAAAAAATCTCTTTGAAAATTAATTTTTGTTTAAAAAAATTCAGTTTTGATTAAAATGTAAATTAAAAAATTTTAATTCTTATATTTTTATTATTTTTTATACTATCAAAAATAAATTAAAAATTTTTTTCAAACTAAAGACAAGAAAGATTTTTTTTTTTTTGTTAATTTGAATGAAAACAACTTTTTTTCTTTTAATCAAAAGTATAAAAAAATTAGAAATTATCATTAGAACTTAATTTTATAATTCAAATTCATAATTAAAATTTCAGAGGGTGCAATTGAATTATATCACATTATTTCAAGAATTTCCGTAAAAAAATAAAAATGTCCTATTTAAATATTAAACAAGTAGTTGCATTAACTCTAAAACTACACGCTAGTTTCTTTTCTAACTCTATTCACTAGAATCAGTGCAGCTATTTTGCAATGAAAATTTTTAATGGTTAAGCTTAGTTAAGAAAAAAATAGGCTTGCAATTAATTAATGCAGTAGTATATTTCTGTGGATCATTTAATTGTTTGCAGTTGTAAAGATATCGCAATAGTTTTATGATTGTGGATTTTTTGATATAAAAAATTTGACTTTTAAGTTAAAAGTTTTACCTAAGACTATAAAAAACTTTGATATCTAGATATTTAAATCTGAATGGTAATAATACTCATGAAAAAATGAAATAAATAAAAGCTTATCATCTGTAATACCTCCGGGGTATTTTAAGTTCTAAGATAAATAAAATATATTCTTAAAATAAGACATTTAAACATTAACTAAAAAAAAGATTAATCCGATATAAACTATTTAATTTTTATAAAGAAAATAATTTTAGTTATCAATAATTAAAAGTCATATTTTTAAAATCAATTTATAAATAATAATAATAAATTACAGAAATGTTGTTTTTATTAGTGTATGCTCGTGACCTCGGCAGTTTGCCGTAAGATAAATTACTACAAATAATAATCAACCCTAGTAATTTAATTTACAATTAAAAATTATTCAAAAGGCAAAATGAGATTTCAATTTTTATAAAACCAATTGTCCAATTTTTAATTCAAAATATTTTCTTTAAATCTAATTTATTTTAAGAATTGTCAATTTTTTTTTCATCCTTTCTTTGTCATAATTCTTTTATAAGCTTATCAACGTTTCAAGATTCTCGAGACGTAACACCTCCCGACTTGAGAAAAATGATCAAAAAAATTCTAACAAATTTTCTCTTGTAACATTAATTTTTTTTATGAAAAATGAGGGAAGTAAAATTAAACTTTCATCACATAAAAGCTCATTTTGCTTTTATATATTTTTTTACGTCTATTTTTTCCTATTTTAGATCAAAATTTACATAATTCTAAAAAAGACGCACATCTAAAGGTAAAAGTAGTGTGAAAAAACTTCAAGTCTTTTAGAAAAGATTATTTTAATTGCCAATCGTCAGTTAATTGCCAATTGATAAAAAAAATACAGGAGAAATTAATATAAATCTAATATTAATAATAACAATAAGAAGGTAAATATTAATGTAGTAAGAAAAGTATTTTAATATCAGTGAAGTAGAATTTTATGCTTAAATTAATGATATGGGTAAATTTTGAAGTTTAATTAATGCTACTAAGATCTATACAATACAATACAGAAGTGAATAATAAAGATGGACAGCATGTTGGCAGTTGCATGAATTGCTGGGCAGTAAATATACAAAATGCTTGGTGACATATGTTAATTTGTTAGATTGTTTGTCTAGCGTTTTGGACAATTTAAGTTAGCTTACTTAAACATTAATTAATAACAAACTATCAATAGTGATATGAATAATAAAATTTATTTGAAATCAGTCTCTACGGTTTTACCATTGTTGATGAAGCATGGACAGAGGGTGTTCAGAATCCGATTGCAGAAGCCACGGGCACGGTTGTTCCAGCCGCTGATGACATCGCCACCCTTCAATCTACTGCCTGCGTAACACATGCATTGTTCCACTTTGTTATTGAACGCGTTAGCTTTAACTACGGGTCTTAATTAGCCGTTAATTTGTTTACTGACAGCGAGACATAACTCTCTATTGATTAACTTTAATTAATCGTCACTATTTAAAAGCGAAACGATTTTGTTTTATTGAAAAAAAAGCTGCTAAGGTTTTATGAAGTTAGATTAAAGAAAAAAACAATGTTTATGAATTAGAAATAAAATAAAATTGATGATTTTTAAAAACAGTTATCTAGTTCGTTACTACTCACTAAACAACGGGAGACAATTAGTTTAAATTCAATAATTATAAATAAATCGATCGGGTTAATTGAACTTTTTTTTATCAAAGTGCTATTCAATGTCAATTTACCTTCACTTGTTCCATCACCCTGAAACAAACAGAGACGATTATTTTGCATGTGTATTATATATATTGTACGTTAGCTTGTGTTGGGTGTTTGGATTGGCTCAGTTGCAAGTGTGAATAAAGAAGTAATCAGATCGCACAGAAACTGAGAGCTTCTTGTATCACTATCGAGGACGTAACTTTATTTATTTTTTATTTAAATTCATACTTTTTATGAAAACGAGATGGTAAATATACGATAAGAAAATAGAAACAATATTTTAGGGGAAAAATATATTTAGAAATTTCAAAAAACCATTTTTTTTTATATTTTGAAAATATCGATAATGAAGTTAATAAAATGTCATTATCCTCTATAGGAACCCGATGTGTTTACTAAGGACCCTATGGATTCCGTTATTTTGCCAATATTACCGAAGAGAAGAAGCTATTTTTATTCATAAACCTCCTCGTTTTACTCGTTATATATTTACTATAAAAAAAGGTTGACAAAGTTGGTATTCAATAGGGTTTTATCCTACTGGGAATTCAAGCTTAGGGAAGAAACTCAGGCCAATTCAACAATTCAACAAGTTTTGTGAGACATCTGATTTACATTAAATCTACTGTACAGATCAATTAACAATAACTCGATTTTATTTTACTTTTCAAATTATAACTAGCACTATGTGACTTCTGTGACTTGTGAACTATAAATAAAAAATGTTGCTTTATGAATTAATAACTTTGGTTAAATTGCGCTGTACTCTCTTAAATATTGACATTTTTTAAGATATAAGCTCATCCGGAGGTTACACTCATCAAGAGCTTTCATTTGAGTACCCACATGCATTTTTATATATTTTTCATATATACATATATATAATATATATATATAAATATATGAAAAATTGATGTGGGTACTCCAATGAAAGGTCTTGAAGAGTGTAACATCGGGGTGAGCTTATATCTTTAAAAATGTCAATAGTTCGCAAGATACAATGTCATTTCTTAATTATTGACATTTTTTAAGATATAAACTCATCCCGATATTACACTGATGAAGAGCTGTCATTTAAGTACCCACATGCATTTTCGATATATTTTTCATACATACATATATATAATATATATAAATATATGAAAAATTGATGTGGGTACTCAAATGAAAGGTCTTGATGAGTGTAACATCGGGATGAGCTTATATCTTTAAAAATGTCAATAATTCACAAGATACAAGGTGATTTCTTAATTATGTATCTAGAGATAGAGTATTTACAAATGCAGCCTAAATACTTATCATCATATCTTCTTCAATTATATTTTTTTTCGCATAAAAAAAACTTTCTGTACACAAAACAATTAGATTACTTTAAAGTATAACTCGACTCCAAAATTAATTCTGATAATTTAAAGTAATAAATTTCTTCCTCGTAACATTTTAAACAAACTCAAATACTTAATGTATATTTTCTTCACTACTATCTTTATTTATGACTCTGCAAACATGATAAAATTTATTCCACTAATTTTTTAAAGTCTAATTTCTTAACCATGACCTCATTAAAATCCTCAAGTTCAAATTTTCTTAATTTATTTAATAAAAATTCTTTTTAAAAAATTTTTTTATAAAGAGTCTAATTATTTTAAATTAACCATTGAATTTTATTGACATAAAATAACCTTAAATAAAAAAACCAACCTGACTCTGCAATTTTCTTTTCGAAGCCTCGGTAGCCGCGGTCTCAATAACTTCAGTAATAAATTTAGTGGTTTCTTTCATAAGCTCAGCATCCTCTTTGAAAGCTTCTTTCCTTTCTTCCAAAGTTCCGGACATTAATTTATCTTCATGGCTGACCATTGTTGTCGGGTGAGAAGTCAAAGACATCCCTCACTTAAGCAACAGTAATAATGGCAATGAAAATAAACCCAATATCATATATAAGTATGATGAATTAAACATAAAAGTATTTATTTCCCACTGAGTAATTTCTCAATTCAAACTTGGCCTTCACATTTTAGAACTTCACTAAACTCTGAAAAATTAACAAACATTTGAAAACCACTTTTAATATATATTACAATATTTAATATTAAAAAAAAAATGAAAAAACAAAACGATTAATTGACAAATGTATTACAATTTGCAGACAAAGCTTAAGCCACAGGTGGCAAACGTTTGATAGAGCCCGAAAGGGAAAAAAACTAAATACTTAAACTCTCGTAAGTAGAAAAATAAATAACCGTATGACAGTAAGTGATATATTAACTACAGACTGAATTTAATGCGGTGAGTAATTGAAAAAAAAAAATAAAAAATAACAACAATAAAACGCTTTCACTTAACGCTCGTTACTTCTTTCTTTAATTTATCTATTTTAATTCTCGGGAATTTATTTTTACACTTTTGATGTGCAGAATTTAATATTTAGCAAAACATCTTTGTGACAAGCGATGATAATTATTTATAATTGAAAAGCAATTATTTAAAAAATATATTTTCAATTTATTTAATTCATTTAATGCGAGTGTTGAGTTGTGATAATGATAAGAATGAGAACAGCTTGATACCGTGCCGGTTTTTATTGTTTCGGAGTTTTAGTAGTGATGTTTGATAAAATATAAATATATATGATAAATATACAAGTAGTTAGTAATATATATGAGTTGTTTTACTCTTAGTCGGTGAAACGAACACCCGGCGACCCGGATACCTCGTAATGATCGGCTGGTTCGTGCCTGGTTTGCTCGACTGAATATTTCACCCCCTCTTGTTAAATATTGTCGCGCATGCTTATAAACTTCGCCACATTTTTATTTATTTAGATTCTTGATGGTGGTTGTTTGTTATTGTTATTGTTATTAATAATTATTTTTTAGTAACAGTACTTACATTTGTCATTATTGTGGGAGTTTCTTGGCCGTCGAAAATAGAGGGTAATTTATTGAGGTAATTACTCCTCGAGATTAATGGAGCTCGTCAAACTAACACGCATTTCAGCAACATAGTTGAGGTAGAGGGTATACAGTTTATAGTTTAATAGAACTTTTATTGTAGGCACTGACCGCAAGTGTTTTATGCACCAGTATGTTATATCATGACGGAGTCAATATTTAGTAATTTAACATGCGGTTTTTGTGGTACTTGCTGCCTTGGGGGTCGGTCAGTTGATGGGCATATGGATTTTGATAACGGAGATATTAAGTTGAGTTTTTTAGGTTTTTGGTTTGAGTTATGGAAAAACATTTGTTTAGAGAGGTAATTAAGGCACGGGATGCGGGTGGATTGATGGAAGGGAATTTTTTTTGGAGTTTTGTTTATCTATTCAACAAGTTTTTGTCTTACTCAATATTCAAGGTCATTTTCTTTTGAATAATTAACGAAAAATTGTCACTCTTTTGAAGGACTAGTCAATTTATTATGATAAGTATTTAGACTGCATTCGAAAATTCTCTATCTCTAGAAACATAATTGAGAAATAACCTTGTATCTTGGGAACTATTGACCTTTTTAAAGATATAAGCTCATCCCGATGTTACACTCATCGAGAGCTTTCATTTGAGTACCCATATCAATTTTTCATATATTTATATATATTATATATATGTATATATGAAAAATATATAAAAGTGCATGTGGGTACTCAAATGAAAGCTCTTGATGAGTGTAATATCAGGATGAGCTTATATTTTCAAAAACGTCAATATTTAAAGTACAGTGCAATAATTTAACAAAAGTCATTATTTAATAAAGCAAAATTTTATTCATTTATTATGCACAAGTCACGGCAATTCCATAGTGACTACAAGGTGGCTAATTTTATACTATACTCCAATTAAAGATCACCCGAAATCAAAATAATAAAATAACTTCATAAATTTCTATAAATTCAATTGTATTTCAAGATAATTTATAAACATCTGCCCTAGAACTTGATTATATAGTGCTCCCACTTGAAGTATATTTATTTAAATTAATAATTCTATTCTCCCAACATGATGACATTGGGTTTATCCAGCGGCTGGAATGGAGCCAGGATCTTCTTTAAATAAATTGCACTTGAAATGAAATACCAACCACGTGTTGGTGTTAGAATCGATTTGTGCATATGTGCGAAAATAGCGATATCACTCCATATATATAAACAACATAATTGGTTTTAAATGGAGTACAGACAGAATGGGACTAGGTTAGTGGGAATCGTAGTGAAATAGGTTCTGGCTCAGGGTCTTTTAATTAATAGACATATTTTCTCAATACTCATCGTCTGATTTTTTTGCAAATAAAAAAATTGACTCTTTTGCTTGTACAATTTTTATAATATTTATTTTTTCTTTTTAGATTTTTTCTTCTTTTTTAGTAACTGACGCTCCAAATATCCGCGCCAGCCGCGCTGTATTATTCTAGCCGCACGATTTCTCTTGAAATTATTTAGAGTTTCAGCAAATGCTTCTGCGATTGCCATCTCACGTTCGTTTTTTAGTTCCTCGTATTCTCTCTTTTGGATCGATACTTTGTCCTTTTTTAAAAATTATACTGATTACTAATCAAAAAAACTTATATTTATTATAATTATTATTATATCAACTAGAAGCACTTATTTATTATTTTTTTAAAATTATTCATAAGATAAAGAATTGTTCTTTAAAAAATAAATAAATTTAGAAAAATTAAATCAAATTTTTCAACTTTTCAAAATTTTTTAAGAGCATGAAAAAAATTCACAAAATTTAGTGAAATTGTTATTAGTTAATATAAAAATAATATATAAAACAGAAGTTTTTTCCTTTAATTAAATATATCGAGAATATTTTTTAATAAAAACCTCAAGAATTTTCAATTTAATTTCCAATATATTTGATTCCTCTATTAGAGACTCCATAGTCCGGTAAAGCATTCCAACATCTTTATCGTACTTAGAAAGTATTTCCAAATAGTCTTGTTCTGCTTTTCTCCTAATAAAATTTTTAATTTAAATTATATTAATAAAAAAACAATTTTTATCAATTAAATAAAATCGCTAAGTATTAATAATTCATACTTATTCACGAAATATTGAATAATTTAATTAATAATAAATAAAAAATTAAATTTAAATAATACCTCATATTATATAAATTTTCTTCATTATTTTGATTGATTGCATAAATCGCTTCATACTCCGTAGATTTAAAATTTATTTCTCTCAGCAATTTTTTCTCTTCTACAGATTTTTTTTCCAAAATTTCTTCAATAATTGCCGCAGTTTTTTTCCTGAAAAGTAAAAATTTTAATGATCAAAAAAATTCAGTACAAAGCGATTACTTCGACATATTTGAGCATTAAGAAAGTCAATACAGCTTATAAAACAACAAAAGTACTACAAATAAAAAAAGATTCCGACTTTCTTTCATCAATTTCCCTTTTTTGTCTGGCCTTAATCCCTTCCAAGAGGATTTTTTCCTCAGCGATTTGTTCTTTTACGTCATTTGTGAAATGTTGATGCAAAAGTTTCTCCGTTTCAATTGTACTCTCTAAATCTATAAAAAAATGAACATGTTGTATTAATTCGAGTAACAATAACAAAAAAGACAAGCAGTAAAAAAATACGTGTATAGTATTTCATAATAGTAGACGTAAAATCGATTTTTTTAAAGCTTACTCTCAGCTTCCACTCGAGCTTTTTCTCCATTAACAAGTGCGCTCGCCAAAGTAGATGCGCGCTCACGTTCTTCTCTCGGTGACGTCCGCATTCGCATTTCAATAATGCGCCCAAGAACATCCAACATCTTTATTAGATTTTCCGATCCGCTGCACTGCTCTTCATTGTCAGAAGACACCTGCTGTCTCTTTGACGCATCGCTAATTTTTTTGACTTGCGTTATTAGTTCCGTTAAAATGGCATTTACTCGCGCGATTGCTATTTCACGTTCCATTATTATGATAAACTTGTTTAATTAATTATTCAATCAAGTGTATGCACTGTAATTTTATTTTATATCATCACGTATACACGATAAACATTCTAAGCCAAGTATTGTCTTTTTAACGATATATGTATTTATATAAAATGCATTTATAAAGTTGCTATAGTAACGGATTAACGATTTAACAGACTAGATTTTTTTTATATTAAAATACTTGAAGTATTTTAAAGTTAATGATACAACTTTTGATATTTTGTAATATATTTTATCAAGAATAAGCATGTTAGAGATTTATTAGTTTTATGATTAGACTTTTTTTTGTAAAATTGCAGAGATAGCTTAAATAAATATAATTATAATTTTAATTAATTCTATTGATTCTTATAATATATTACAGTAATAATATAATTTCTTCCTAAATAGCAAGTATATAAGGTCATTGTAATGTAAGGTTGAAAATCTCACAAATTTTAAGTCGGCATGCATTATTTTTGACTGTAATCCAACTTTGAAATTCCTCTTTGATGTTTGAAATATATATATACATATATCAGATCATGAAACAGCTGTTTCGAATATATTACTTTGAGTAAATTCTTGAGTCATCAGTGATTACAAATATAATACATTATATTAGACAATAAAAATTTTTTTCTACATGTTATCATTTATTATTTTACATTGTTTTTTGAGAACATGTGACAATATTAAGCTAGATATATAGTAACTTCCTGCTATGTAAGGGTTCAAAACCCTCGAGACCTTTTATCTTGAGAACCATTGACATTTTTAAAGATATAAACTCATCCCGATGTTACACTCATCGAGACCTTTCATTTGAGTACCCACATCAATTTTTCATATATTTAATATATTTATATATTTCACAAATACCATATATATAAAATATATAAAAAATGCCATGTGGGTACTTAAATGAAAGGTCTTGTTGAGTGTAACATCAAAATGAGTTTATATCTAAAAAAAAATGTCAATAATTAAGAAATGACCTTGTATCTTGGGAAATATTGACATTTTTAAAGATATAAGCTCATCATAATGTTACACTCATTGAGACCTTTCATTTGAGTACCTACATCAGTTTTTCATATATTTTATATATATTATATATATATATATATGAAAAATACATAAAAAATGCATGTGGGTACTCAAATGAAAGCTCTTGATAAGTGTAACATCAAGATGAGCTTATATCTTCAAAATATATATTATATATATGAATATATGAAAAATATATCAAAAATGCATGTGGGTACTCAAATGAAAGCTCTTGATGAAAGTAACATCGGGATGAGCTTATATCTTTAAAAACGTCAATATTTAAAAAAGTACAGTGCAATTTAACAAAAGTCATTATTTAATAAAGCAAAATTTTATTTATTTATACTTCACAAATCACAGCAGTCACATAGTGACTGCAAAGTGGCTAGTTATTATTATATATGTTATTAATAATTATTAATACCATAAGGAATATTTTCACCTGAGTAATTTATAAAAAATTTCAACAAGGCTTTAAAATTTTGCAACAGTATGAAAGTATGCACTTTCTTTGTGATTGGATTTTTTTTGGGTTACTCCAACGCTGCTTATCAGTGTTTTTCATTAAAAATTTTTCCGGCAACACTAGTATCTTGACTATAAGTATAAATAGGTACCTGCAGATTTAATTTCTTAATTTTAAATCTCGCGCGCTTGCGCAGAACCTTTTTACGTCGCCAGCTGTCGCGCGTGCGCACTTCTTATAATATTGTTGGGTTACAAAAGCATTATAACCAGTATATATTAATTATTAATATTGTCGTTTTGGTCTTTGGGTGCTAGCATGTTGATACTGCAGCAGCCAGCAGCATAAAGCGCCGTCACCGTCACAGTGCCGATGTTGTCAGTGACACTCATCTTCATCTTTATTTTTATATATAAGTAAATTAATCTGAAGTTGACTTGGCGCAACTGAAACTGAAACAGCAGCACCGTGATCGTCGTGGTAGTTACAGTCAACAATATTTATATCAATCTAATCGGATTAAATCGCGGCGAGAAGAGTGAAATTTACTCTCTAATACTCATGCTCGCCTCAGTCGTCGGTTTTCAGCCTCAGTCTCGTACTCAGAGTCATACATCAGCCAGTGTCTATTTTTTTATTCCGTGTCAAGTGCTAAGTCTAAGTACATACTGTGTTCATGTAACATAACACACATATATCATTTATATATGAAAATGAAGTTAGCTGACATTTCAAAATTTTTAGAAATTTTTTTATTCAAAAAATTTCAATTAAACAATTAAAAAAAAATATCACATGTTAAAAACTTGAAAAACTATAAGTGCAATTTTTTAAAAATATCTTTTTAGTTGTAATTTAATTAAAATAAAAATCAAAAATTTTTAGACATCTGCTAACTTCAGTGTCATATTTATATTTATACTTGTATGTATTTATTAAATTAAAATAAGAGTTCAGAGCTAAGTATTTGGTTTGTTTAAAATAAAAGTGAGACAGTTGGACAGTGAAAATGGTGTCACTCGGTGGACTGGTCCCGTGACAGGCGGTCTAGATTTTGTTAACTTTTATTTTAAATAAATTTGTAACCAATTTGACAATTTTTGGAATTTTTTTTTTCAATAAGTAATAATTTAATTATTTTTATAAAAATAATTTTTTAGCTTTAGAGTAATTTTTTTTAATAACTAAAAATTGTCATGACATTAGTTAGAACTTAACCTGTTTTTTAATTTTTTTAATTTTTATGACATTAAAGTATGAAAATTAATGAAAATAAAATTAGCCGAAATTTTTTATCTTTTTATTTTGCTTAATTTATTAAATTACAACTAAAAAATATTTTTAAAAAATTGCACTTATAGTTTTTAAAGTTTTTAACAAATAAAAAATTTTTTTGTAATAATTCTTTAATAAAAAAATTCATAAAAATTTTTAGATGTCGGCTAACTTTATTTTCATTGAAAATTAAGTTAACTAATAATTAAAAATTTTTTTTCATGAAAAAAATGATCACAAAAAAATAAAAAAACACTTTTATTTGTAAAAAACTTTAAAAACTGTAAGTGCAATTTTTAAAAAAAAAATAAAAAAACACTTTTATTTGTAAAAAACTTTAAAAACTGTAAGTGCAATTTTTAAAAAATATTTTTTGTTCTAATTTAATTATTAAAAAAAAATTAAATAATTACAAATGTCGACTAACTTAAGTATTATCATTAAAGTTAGCAATCACAATTTTTTAATTTCATTTAACAAATAAATTTACTTTTAAAAAATTGCATTTTTTATTTTTTAAAATTTCTTAAAATTATTAAATATCTGGTAAATTAATTTTCATAAATTTTTTTTGCCATAATTAATTATTAATTTGTTAAAAAAATGATTAAAATTATAAAATTAATTTTCATAAAATTGTCAGGTGTCTGCTAATTTAAAAATCAACAAACTGATAATTAATGGATGAGTAAATAATAAAATTTTTATTTATTTTCCAGCAAGATAAAAGTGTAAATAACAAAACATGGCGTACCGCGGTGTCAAAGGTTCAGACCCCTTCGTGTCAAAGACTTCACGCAACGAGAGGTTCGCCCAGATGTCCAAGCAAGAGCAAATAATCCAGCAGAAGAAGCTGGAGATCCAGGCTAAAATGGAAGAAATGAAGGCCAAAGCCGCCGTTGAGGTGAAAAAAACAAGCCCCAGCACTTCGCCTCCCTCTGCTCCCGTTAACAAAGTCACTGCTGCAGCCAAGTAAGTTATTTTTATTAATTATTACTATTTATCACCTCTGTCTAGCTGAGAGTTAGTACTTGCTCATATTTTACAATCTAAATTTAATTTAATGGGCTGGCTTATATTTTTCAGAGATTACTTATCTAAGGATCACGTGTGAATTTGCTAGATGAATTAGGTTAGCTTTCAGAGAGATTATTACCGGAGACCTCCGGGTCTTTTGGCTTCCGAGGAGGTTCTTTAGGTGCTCAGATTCAATCAGTTATGTTCAATGTAGTTGATATTTTTTTTTCAATTACGTGAATTAATATTATTGAATTAATGATGTTGAATACTACTTTTTAATTTGGGCTCAATTTTTTTTATAAACTATAAATATTTTTATCGAGTGTATTAAAAATTTTAATAAGACGTTACACTTATTACTAATTATTAAAACAACATTTTTATTTGATAAAAATTCAATTTTTTTTTTAATTCTGTCATTAAAATATTATAAACATTTTTCAAAAGGTCAAAGTTGAATTTTTAGAAATTTTATGAAAAATCGGAACGTTTTTTATTTAAAATAATTATAATCAATAAAAAAGGATAGATGATAGTCAATTTAAATATTGTCGCTGTAATAATCGAGTTATCATATTGAATATATTTATATAAATTAATAAAGTCAGATGTCTGGTGCTTTTTGTCTCATGATATGATGAGGTTAGAAAAAATAAAATTATCTTGCAGATTATTTTTACAATAAAAATTTTATCTTCATATTACTTGCAGTGTCATTAAAAATTACTTTAATTTTAGATCTTACAAACAACTGACAAGTAAAATCAAGTTTCATGTATATGATTCAATAATATGATCTATATTATTAAGAGAATACGCAAAATTTTATGGCTAGTATATTTATATGGCAAAAAGGATTTTTATTGTTAAATTTGGTATTTTTAGATACATAATAAATGACCTTGTATCTCGTGAACTATTGAAATTTTTAAAGATATAAGCTCATCCCGATGTTACACTCATCAAGACCTTTCATTTGAGTACCCACATCAATTTTTCATATATTTTATATATTTATATATATTATATATATGTATATATGAAAAATATATCAAAAATGCATGTGGGTACTCAAATGAAAGCTCTTGATGAGTGTAACATCGGGATGAGTTTAAATCTTTAAAAATGTCAATAGTTAAGAAAGTACAGTGCAATTAACAACAATTCATTATTTAACAAAACAAAATTTTATTTATTTATTTAATTCAATAAATTTTTAAATAGAGACCAAAAGTATGATCAAATTTCATAAAATAATAACAAATTTAAATATTTTCATTAAAAATAAATACAACTGAAATTTTTTGCTTGGTATGAATAATAAATTAACCCTAGTATGTTATGACTAAAATCCGTATATAAAATTAGTCTTTATAGAATTTAAATTATAAATACCATAAATAAACCAGCATTAAGGCATAAACACGCCGTCATATAAATAAAACTTGTATAACATCAGAGGTTGTGTCACAGAAGATGTTGCTAGTGCCATAAAATCATAATATTAAGATTTTAATTTATAACTCTTCAGCTAGACAGATATAATACACAAATATCTATATAACATATAGAACAAAATAAGCTATACTAAAATGGAGGTCAGTAAGAGAGCCCGTAAAATTATTTATAGGAAAGAAGAAGAGAAGCCGCCAGCCGCAGCGACGGTCAATTTATTTGCGAATGACGGGAGTTTTCTCGATCAATTTAAGAAAATATCAAACAAGACTTCGCCTAGAACCGAAGAATCGCCACCCCCGGTGGCTGTTAAAAAAGAGGACCGTGAGAGGAACTACGAGCGGCGATGGAACGGGGATAAGAACCGAGAGTACGACCGCCGAGACAGGCGAAGAAACGAGTCTCGCTGGAACCAGAGATCCGAGAGAGGACGCCGCAGTAGTTCGTCGAGTCCGTCGCCCCCGCGACACAGATCGCCGGTCCTAGAGCGTTATCACCAGCCTAATCCACGGTCCCCATCTTCCATACCGCCGCTGATCTCTCCGCGGATCCAACAGATCAACGTCCCACCTCCCAACTTGCGAAACGTCCCGCCGCCTTCTCATATTCACAATATTCCTCCGGTAAATCTAGAGCCAAGTCTTCCGATCTCAGTCCCGCCGCCGCCTTCTCGCATATCAGTGCCGCCTCCGCACATGATAAGGCCTCCACCTCCGCCGCAGATAAATACCAAAGTACCTCCGCCTAGCATGCAGCTGAACCAGCCCCCACCTTCCCAGCCGCAGGGGCCGACAAATCCCCTGGCCTCGATCCCGAGCAAATCCGCTGGACACATTTCGCCACAGTGCAGTATTCCGATCACCAATTTACAGCCCCAGAATCAAGCCCCAAGGCCTACTTTGCTGCCCCCTATGTCCAGGATGCCGCCTAATATCATACAGATGAATCCCAACCCCGTTCCCAGTGTACCTCCGTCCCAAGTTATTCCTCCGCTGATAATGTCTACGCCACCGCCGGTTCACAATTCTAATATTAATTCAGTGCCACCGCCGAATGTTAATGTACCGCCGCCTAATGTTCCACCACCTTCGATAATTACTGGGAATAATCACTCGACTGCGGTTCATCTCCTCCCGACTACTTATCCCATTCAAAATCAAATCCAATTGCCTGTTAATGTCCAAAGGCCTGGTGTTAATGTACAAATTCCGCCACCTGTACAGCCGCCACTGTCTTCAGATCATTTTGGTAAGTTCCAAATTAATTTTTTTAAATACTAGAAATTTAAATAGCGCGCTAGGCGCGCGCCCGGATTTCAATCAATAAAAAATCGTGGCCCATATTTTTGCGAGTTTCGACTTTTGACTAACTTCAAGACTTTCATGTATTTTAATTTAGAATATTATCCCTTTAAAAAAAACGATTTGAAATGGCTCTAAGTGATTAAATTCAACTTGACAAATATATAGATATACATTTTGCATGGGTTGAATCATTTTAAATCTATTTTTTTTAATAAAGGATGGGTAATTAATATTGTCAGCGATAATGTATTTTAATTATGATAAAAATTCATTAAAAAATTTTTTTTCTTCTTGCAAATAAGCTTTAAATTTTTAGTTAGATTTGAAGCTTAAATATGACCTCTTAATTTTAATATTTAGATTGCAGTTTTCGATTTTCTGTAAAAGTAACATAGGGAATATTTTTTTTGCTCCTTCTAATGCCCTCGGCTGCCCAATTTCAAAACATAGTTACTGAAAATTTTAAGATTTTTAAAAATTAGTTTAAAAAAAAAAAAAAAAATTGCGCTCCTTTGATAAAAAATTTGATTTATAAATAGAAAACACTTTACTATAAATATTTTCAAGAAAAAATACTTAAAATTAAGGTCTAAAAGTTATAAAAAATGCAGCGATAATATAAAAATCATAGAGAAAATATGTCTAAAAAAAAAAGGTATTTTATGATTTTTCGCTAAACGTAATGGTTCGAAAGATATTTTAAATCAAAGTTCAACTTATTATAAATTTAGCTATCAAGAGTTGTCTTGATCTGAATTTATGCCTTTTTATAATTTATTATTATATATCTATAATTACTGCAAGCTTTTCCTTAAGATATAAAAGTACATACACTTCAAATAAAATACAAAAAAAAATAATTTCAAAATTTACAAAAATAATATCAAGTAGCTTACGAAATAATACAATATTTAATATCAATTATATTACCCGGTACTAGCGTATAATAGTTAACACTTATTTTACTACTTACTATTATTACAATAGTTATAAATTACAATTAACAATTATTCTTACAGTAGGTTGTCAGGAAGCTGAACAATTGGCACGAATTGTTGCAGACTGCGGTGACGCAATTGAGCAAGAAGTCAGAGAGAAGAATTTGCAAGATCCTAAATTATGGTAACTACTGTCCTCACTGATGAATTATTGCATTATTTATTTCTATTGACATTTATATTCATTCTAACGCTGTCTTATGCTCGCTAAGTATTTTACTCTTGTTTAGTGTCTCAGATTTTTTATTACTATTTTTAGTCTTACGCTTCACGTCTGTCTGTAATTAATTACTATTTAAATTCGAACCATTGTTTCAATGGTTTTAAACTCATTCTTTAGTCAGTACAGTTGTCTCGTTATATAATCCAAGAGAATTTGTGGTATTAATAAAATTGTAGGATTTTGTAGATTGTCATGTTAGCTTTTATTAACATTTAATATTGTCACTTTCAATTTGCTTAGTCTAATATAATACACACAATATGTGATAATTTAGACATTCTTCTCTTTATGGTATGATAAGTCAAGTAAGAAGTTTATTACTCACTATTAACAGTTAATTACTGTTAATACTCATCACAATATTTTTTTATTTCAAAGCATAGAAAAATTGTAAATAAATTTTCATTTTTTTTTTTTTTTTTTTTTATTAAAAGATAACATCATTTTTTCAATTAAAAATTTTTTATTCTATTTATTTCTTAAATAAAGAGATAATATATTAAGGCCAATAATTTTTTTCTTAAATTTATTTTCTTGTACTTAATTAAATTACCGCTTTATTGGAACAGTCTTTATTAATTTCAGACTTCATCAACTACATTGGAGGTCTATCACTATAAGTCATAATTAATTGATCCTTGTATAGAAGTTATGACCTAATTGAAGTATCTAATAGAAAAAAAATAATCCAGTAAATTAATTTAGTGAAAGTAAATAAATTTTTTTATTTATGGCTGATCAATATATTTTTTAAAAATTATTTTAGTAAATTTACTAAAAAAGTTTAATTAAAAATGAAATAATATTTTTCAATTTTTCTATGCATCTACTCAATAGTTATAGACATTTTAATAATTAATATTTATGTGTGGTAAATTATTTTATTTAATAATTGCTGTTATGAGAATGTTTTTTTTAAAGCTTGTGGAGTGCTAAAATATTAAGTGTTGTTATTATTAAATATTTACCTAAATTATATAGTTTGAAAATAAATAAGAAATATTTTATCAAGATTAATTATAGGAGAAATATTTTTAACCGCTTGCTTAGTAAATCGAGCTATTAATTATAGTTATGTAAATATAAATACATTATTATTTTTATTATTATTAGAATTATTATTATTATTATTATTATTATTATTATTATTATTATTATTAGAGTAACTAATTTAAAAAAAATTATATTAATGTTTATCCAAATAGATAAATTTAGCATTGATTTATTGATTTTAAAATTAACATCCTAGCATTTGAAAGTACTTTTTTGAATTTTTCTAAATAACATATTTGAATACTTAATAATTTATTATTAATTAATTAACGTGATTAAATTTGTCGAAGATAATTAACAGCATATCGTTAGGCGTAAGTCTTACTTGACAGCGTTTTAAGTATTGTTTTAATCAAGGTTTCTGCACCAAAAGCAAAGTGCAGCGTACCTGCAGTACAGAGGATTGGTGGCCAAGTACCGTGCTGAGAAAGCTGATAAAGGGGCAAGCGGAGCTTCAGGCGCCGGTAGTGGAAGCGGTGCTGAGCCTTATTGTCCTGAAGATGCCCTTAGTGACAATGATGATGTTGACAAAGTATCCACTAAACATATCTTACAAAGTGGTAAGTCAATATTTACTCTTTTATACACTTTTATGTCAAGTAAAATGAGTATACTTTACAGTTCGATAAAAAAAAAAATATCTGATTATTTACTAAAAAAAAAATTATTTGCAGATAATAATATTAAGGATGAAAGTAAAGAAGAACGCAGACGTAAAAGACGCAGTCGTTGGAGTGAACCTGATAACAAAGTAGAAATTCCTACTGTAAATAACCAAGCGAGTAATGTTAATCCATTAAATCAACGACCTGGTATTGGATTGTCTGGACCACTGGGTCAAGGATCGGCTCTATTAACACCAAAGACTCAAAATCCCAAAAGTAAAAATCCTATGCTGACAAAAATTAGTCGCAATGATCCAGCGTTGGTTGTTTATGCGCGACAAACTTTTGGTACTTATGATTTAACTGAAGAGCAGTGGAAGAAAGCTGAAGATCATTATAAGGTTTTTAATTTATTTTTTAATGTTCTTGTTTATTAAAAATATTTTTATTTCTAGATTAGAAATTTTATTAAATTTTTTTTAATTAATTTTTTGAAATTCTTTTTAACTAATTTTTTTCAAATTAATTCTTTTTAATTAATTTTATTTCAATTTACAAGCATGTAATTTTGTACATGAATTAAGACAGTATTTAATTTTATTACTTGAAAAAAAAATTAATTTTAAACACGTTTAAAAATAATTTAAATAAATTTTACAGATAAATTTATTGTATCAAAACTTGATGAAAAAACGGGAAGAAGTGAAGCGTTTAGAGTCGCAAGGAAAGCATAAATATGAATACGACAGTGATGAAGAAACTGAGGGTGGTACGTGGGAACATAAATTAAGATCAGCTGAGATGGAAGCCACGCAAATGTGGGCTGAGGAATTAACGGCGCAGTCGGAGGGTAAACATCACATCGGTGATTTTTTGCCACCAGACGAGCTCAAAAAATTCATGGAGCAGTACAACGCCGTCAAGCAGGGCAAAGAACCCGACCTTAGTGATTATAAGGAGTTTAAATTAAAAGAAGATAATATAGGTCAGTAATTAATTTCAGACAATTATAAATTAAATAATGATTAAAATTCACATAGTAATAATACATTTAAAATTTATTTTTCATAATATTTGATTATTTAAATTAATTCAATTAATCTTGATGATGAATTGTTTGCAGGTTTTCAAATGCTACAGAAACTTGGTTGGACTGAAGGTCAAGGACTTGGTAGCGAAGGAAGCGGACGTATTGATCCTGTAAATAAGTGAGTTTTTATTTTCAAATTGATTATTGTTATCATTCAATTAAATTAAATTTATATTTGGTATTTATTATTGACAATATCAATTGAAATGTTTAATTAGGGCAACTAGTAGATTGGATAGTTCTGGCTTAGGTTCTGACAGACCGGATAACATTTCACGAGATGACGATGAGTTTGATGCATATAGGAAACGAATGATGCTTGCTTACCGATTCAGGCCGAATCCTTTGGTAACTGTCCTCATTTATTCGTTTATAGAACCATTAATTAATCAAGGTGTCTAGAAAGTCTCAAATGTCAGAAAATTTAGTGGCTTTGAATATTTATCTGAGCAATGATATAGCTTACGAATTCATTTAATCGACGGATTTATTTAACCGACGAGTCTTGATTTAATAAAAAATTGCTATGGTTTGATAAATTTAATTTTTCATTCTGGTTTTTTTATTGATTCAACAAATTGAATGATAAAAAAAAAATGTTTTAACTTTTTTTTAAAAGTCATGACATGGCACTACTTTTTTATTCAATTTACTGAGTAAATAAAATTATTGGAAAAAAAAAATAAATATTCTTGTAAAGATTAGATTTTATTAACTACAATTTCTGTAGAAATATAAAAATTTTATTCTGAAATATTGACGTTTTTAAAGATATAAGCTCATTCCGATGTAACACTCATCAAGAGCTTTCATTTGAGTACCCACATGCATTTTTGATATATTTTTCATATATTAGTATATAAAATATATGAAAAAATGGTGCGGGTACTCAAATGAAAGGTTTCGATGAGTGTAACATCGGGATGAGCTTATATCTTTAAAAATTTCAATAGTTTACAAGATACAAGGTCAGTTCTTAACTATTGACATTTTTAAAGATATAAGCTCACCCCGATGTTACACTCATCAAGAGCTTTCATTCGAGTACCCACATGCATTTTCATATATTTTTCATATATACATATATACAATATATATAAATATATGAAAAATTGATGTGGGTACTCAAATGAAAGATCTCGATGAGTGTAACATCAGGATGAGCTTATATCTTTAAAAATGTCAATAGTTCTCAAGATAAACGGTCATTTATATGTATCTAGAGATAGAGAATTTTCAAATGCGGCCTAAATATTCATCATAATAAATTGACTATCGGTGAGAATGAAATGAAACCTTGAAAAGGCACAGATTTAAATCAAGACCTTTGCAATGACGCTAAAAAAATCGATTTTATCATATGAATATCCTAGAAACAAATTTTTTCTTATTCTCGTAATAATATAGATTATAGTTTAATAAACATGAGTTCATTACATATCATTATATCCACTTTGATTTAATAAAGTACAAACGGATATTGACAACTGCCTTCAGCTACTTACTGTCAATCGTAAAAGATCTTAACAGTTATATTATAATATAAAAATTTTCTTATCTAAAAAATGTGAAATCATATTCCAGTAAATCTTAAAAGTAAAAAAAAATTTCCAAGACTCTAGGCACCTTATTATTAATGTTAATAATAACAATAATGGTAATAAAAAAATTCATGAGATTATTTAAATGATTCTAGAATAATCCACGAAGGCCTTACTATTAAAAAATCAATAGGATAATGACAGGCCTCAAAGGAAAATGAAACACCACATTACTGTTTTTACAATTGATAAAAAAATAATAAGTGACATAAATAATATAAAGAGAGTAATATTATTTTGTATAATGAATGTTAATAATATCTTATAAAGATAATTGACAACACGCGCTGCTAATTAATGTGACGTTAATTAATTAAGGTAAATTTGTTTATAAATGAATTTATAAAAATTATTAACTAATAATTGTTAATAAATATTAAAAATAAGATAAGATAAGATTGTTTATTTACTTTATTTATAAGAGGTCGAATGAGTAAAGGTCAATGTAAGGAAGCGCTATGGAAAGTTGAATGAAACTACGTAGACAGATAGAGAAAGTCTGTTCAATTAAACTGATGATGATTATTTTTTACCTCATTAAAATTTAATGTCATTTTTTATTTTAGCTTATTTTTACCAGGTTATTGACATTTTGTTAATTGTTTAAATTTTTAATTAACTATATTATTTTTTTTCAAGTGTATAAACAGTTATGATTTTTTTACTCGGTAATTTTTAATTAAAAAAAATTTTTTTAATTAACGATTCGGTTAATTGGTAATTATTGCGCTGGGAATAAATTTGTGGTTGATAGATAATTGAGACAATTTGTTATTAGCGATAAAGATAATGAAAACAACTTTTTTATTAATTAATAAGTAGACGTAAATAGTATAGTAACTGTAATTACTATTGTCATTTTTTCACACCATTTACTCGGTCGTTAATTTAATGTTGGTAATTATTGAGTTTCATATCAAAGCATGATCATTTTTTACTAGCCAAACAAATGTATATTTTATATGTGCATGTAAAATGTCATTGCCTTTGTATAACTTTTATCTTATCCGCGGTCTTTTGTTCTTTTATTTAGTGAAAGTCATGACCGTGAATTAAAAAGAAATTATTTGTTAATTTCTTGCTTGCATAAAGTAATACTAACAACCTTGCAGTCACTCTGTGACTGCCGTGACTTGTGAACTATAAATAGATTAAATTTTGCGTTATTAAATAATGACTTTTGTTAAATTGCATTGTATTTTTTTAAATATTGATGTTTTTTAAGATATAAGCTCATCCCGATGTTACAATCATCAAGAGCTTTCATTTGAGTACCCACATGCATTTTTGATATATTTTCCACACATACATACATATAATATATATAAATATATGAAAATTGATGTGGATACTCAAATGAAAGGTCTTGATGAGTTTAACATTGGGATGAGCTTATATCTTTAAAAATGTCATTAGTTGACAAGATACAAGGTAATTTCTTAATAATTGACATTTTTTAAGATATATACTCATTTCGATGTTACACTCATCGAGATCTTTTATTTAAGTACCCACATGGCATTTTTTATATATTTTATATATATGGTATTTGTGAAATATATAAATATATAAAATATATGAAAAATTGATGTGGGTTCTCAAATGAAAGGTCTTGATGAGTGTAACATCGGAATGAGCTTATATCTTTAAAAATGTCAACAGTTCTCAAGATACAAGGTCATTTCTTAATTATGTATCTAGAGATGAAGAATTTTTAAATGCAGCCTAAATACTTATTATCATAAATTTACTATTCTGGACACAAAATTTTTCTTATTCTCTTAATAATGTAGATTATAATTTATTTTTTACAATTTACAACATAGATAATTTTTTCTTAGATATTTTTTGCTTAAAAAAATTAATTACTAGCAAAATTTTAATTATCTGACACAACATTAAAAAAACTTAAACTATAATTAAATTATAATATTTAATACCTGAGACATTAAAATATTTATAGTTAATAAATCTTATTATCGAACATAAATTTGAAAGTTTTCAATAGTAAAAATATTTCATTTAAAAATTAATAAGTCGGCGCTAAACAAAGCAGTCGAGAGTATGAGTAATTGTCGGAACATTAATAATTATTGTAACGTTAGAAATTATTTTAGTGGCGCGTAATTAGTAACTGTGAATAATAGATTCGTAAAATTTATTTTTAATATTTTTTATTGTTCAAAAAGCCGAATACTGAAGTACTTAGCAACAGGGAAATTTTGTTAAAGTTTTTTAACTTCCGCGTAAAATCAACAACGAATGACCTTATAATAAACAGTAAGTGTAGTAAATTAGCTACGGGCCACGATCTAAATTACGATTCCAGCCTCAAGCGAATAGTTACCGTCTTGTAAGAAAGAGTCCGGTTAAGAAGATAATTGTTCATCCAATTAAAGTATTTTACTTGTATATTTATTTGTTAAATAAATACATATGTGTCTGCGTACTGTTATAATTTTGCGAGAAATAAGATTTCCGGTTAGAATTGTAGTATTTTTCGTAAATCTCGACCATAATAATTATATTAAATTATAACAATAGTTTCTTTTATATTTAATTGTATCAAATTAAATTTATTTAGTGCGTTATATAATTCATTCTTTTTTTTTTGTAAAAAATTAACAAAAAATTCATTATTACAAATATTAAAAAAAAAAAAAATCTTAAGTTGGCTCAAAAAAATCGGCTTTTTTTAGTCTTTGAAATTAATTTTATGCGGCTACCAACATAAACGGAGACCTTTCCAATACCTTCAAGTTCAATCACCCTAAGCTCTATCTAATTCCATAGAATCTCTTAATAATGCATATCTTTTCATAAATATAATATTTTATAAGATTAAGTTAGATATAAATTTCTATAAATGTCACATCGATGAACCTATTTATCATCCGTCGAAACTTTCCCCAAAAAATAAAAATTTTCTTACCTTTATTTTAAAGTGACAACCAAGTCATCGAAATTTTTAATAAAAATGATAATTTTTGTTCTTAAAAATTTAAATTCTTCTTATACAAAAAAACAAATTTATCTTTACATATCTATAACTACACATAGGTGAATGAATCTTACGAAACTTCGATTTCTCTTACATTGGTCCGTTGATCTGTTACACGTGATAAAAATTGCATCCCTTGTCTTAATACTTAACTAGCAACCATGCCGTGACTTGTGAACTATAAATAAATAAAATTCTGCTTTATTAAATAATGACTGTTGTTAAATTGCACTGTACTTTCTTAAATATTGACGTTTTTAAAGATATAAGCTCATCCCGATGTTACACTCATCAAGAGCTTTCATTTGTGTACCGACATGCATTTTTGATATATTTTTCATATATTTATATATATAATATATATAAATATATAAAATATATGAAAAATTGATGTGGCTATTCAAATAAAAGGTCTTGATGAGGACAATGTCAGTATGAGCTTGTATCTTGAAAAATGTCAATAGTTCTCAAGATACAAGGTCATTTTTTAATTATATATTATATATTTTTAAGATATAAACTCATTCCAATGTTAAACTCATTAAGAGCTTTCATTTGAGTACCCACATGCTATATTGGTATATTTTTCATATTTACATATATATAATATATATAAATATATAAAATATATAAAAAATTGATGTGGGTAGTTAAATGAAAGGTCTTGATGAGTGTAACATCGAGATGAGCTTATATCTTAAAAAATGTCAATAATTCTCAAGATACAAGATAGATGTACTCAAGCT